GCGCGGCCACGGCCGGCCCTTGCCGGCCGTCCGACAACAACTCATGAACATTCTGATCTCAACTGACATAACACGACCATATGAACTGATTTAAACTGAAAATATGAAAGTTTGCTCAAAGGATTGAACTTGGCCGCGGCGGACGCACCGTGCGCCGCCGACGGCGTTAAGCCGTTTTATGATCGAACCTCATTTTCTCTCGGCAAATCAAACTTAACTGAACATGATCAATGATTTTCTCTCGCCCGTGGTGCGCTATATGCGCGACCACGTCCCCTCGGCCGAACACCGCAAAACATGAATAATCCTCCGAACACTTAAGCTAATCTGAACATGATATTACATAAACTGATAAACCACACGAAGTTGCTCGAGAGATTATGAATTTAATCATGATGACCTACATGAACCTCACGCACGGCAACATAAAGCATGACCGAACTATGAACTACTGAAACTAATCATGAGGCTACTTATCATAACCAAAAGAAGGCTGATATTACCTCTTAGCTGCCTGATAATCTCCGCTAGGTGCGGTGTCCGTGTGTGCTAACTCTCTCTCGGTGCGTACGTGCTAAGCTTGCGGTAGCAACTTACGTGCGATCCTTGCGGTATTCTCCTCCACAACCCTCAACACTCTCTTACTAGTGTATATATATATATGACTTAACTATATGCGGAAGAAATATGGGAAAATTTCCCAAACTCATACATATATATAAAGTGGCCGAGGAGGTGGAGATAATGAGGTGTTATGTGGGTTATTTTAATTATGACACTTGCCATAATTTGGAGACTAAAAAGAATTAATCATCTTTAATATGCATGAGAAAAAGACACCTCATTCCACTTAATTGCATGACATTTTACAAGGCTTGAACTCAAAAATAACACACACGACACTTATGAAAGGAATGGCCAAATTGCTACGGCTCTATAGATTTTAACTCGTTATTAATTGATAATTAATCACTTAATTATGCTTAATTAACTAGTAAGCATATTACTTAATTACCAAAATTATTCCAAACGTAAACGGTACGTCGAAAATAATTTCTGGTAATCTCGACTGAAATAATTAATTCCGAAAATTAATACTCGACAATATTAATATATCGGAACTAAAAACATGATTAACATGACGGGATATCGCTGACTGCATAATTTATTCTGGATTCATTAATTAATTAAACGAATCGGAATTAAATCTGGAAACTTATTCGGTTACTAAAAACCGAATAACTTATCGACTAATAGTCGAACATAGAATATAACTGACTGATTAATCTGAACTTGAACATGAACATGATTATTTATTAATAAAGGCTAGCTTAAACTAAAAGCTAGTAATTTCCTTTATTAATAAAATAAAATACGGGGCGTTACAAGGGTAAATAGGGGCAAGTACGAAAAATGTAAGCAATGTCTCCGGAAAGACTTGTTTACGAACACGGCACCATTATTTGATGTAGATGACATATATTTATTGCCCCATCGTGTTTTGAAGCAAAATGGTACACGTTTAAGAAATTCGAGGAAAAAAAGAGTA